TCAAATTGACAGCTAAATTTTTAATTTGTACTTCGCGTGTTTTTCGAATAGTATTTGAATAGTATTTGAGATACGCTTCGTTTTGTGAGGCGCCAAAAGTGAATTCTTCGATTTTTACTATGTCTGAATTTATTAAACAAATAAGTGCGAAATTGCTATTCGTGATCATTTCGCTACGTTTTCAACTAATATCGTGCCGCCACCACTCCGAGGATACCGTTTTAACTCGATTGAGGATATAAAGCTGAATCGAAAATGTGTTGGAATAAGTGTATTGCAGCGGGATTCCTTTGAGGGAGATGACATGGACAAAATTCTCCTATCAATTTGATCACAGTAGTAAATATTTTGCGTTTTATTTACAATTTCCGGTTACTTTTTTGTCACAATATACACAAATGATCAGCATGACGAGCTGAGTCGATTTAGCCATGTACGTCTGTCTATCCGTCTGTCAGGTTCTTAAGATAGGTCCTTTTCCCCACAAAAAACTACTTATTTGTTGGAACCGCTGATATCGAACCGGTATAGCATATAGCTGCCATAAAAACTGAAGTTTTTGTATGGAAAACCCTTTTCTTTGATAAGGTACCTTCACCAAATTTAGCATGAGGTATTGCCTATGGCAATCTTAGAATTTCCGATTCCGAATGATTCAGATCGGTTCGCTATAGCCTATAGCTGCCAGACATACTTACTTATGAAAATCAAGTTCTTTATGGATAGTTTCGAATTTTTGAAGCCTATTATAGCTTTGATGCAACGGAAGTTAGACTTTTTCCTTGTGCACTTTACAATTTCACTCAAATTCAAACATTAAAAGAGTAACGTTTGACTCACAAACTACTAATATACGTCTCCATAAAATTGTTCGACTGGGTTCGCATTGTTGACAATTTTGCACTGATTTAATTGTCAAAACGTTTGTCTAATTTTACAAATTTCATAACACTATTCAATTTTATTAGACGTAATATCCAAAATGCAGGAGCAAATCATTAGAATTCTTGTACTGTCTGTGCTTGTGACCGCAGCACATTGTGGACCCGTTTTGATTTGGCATGCTGAAGTGTGAGTTGCGTTATATTTATTATAAGTATATACAGATATAATAATTTTTGACTTTTCGCTTTAGCCAACCGAAATCTGTGTTTCCCAGAATAAGTCAACATGAATTTATTAACGAAATAAAACCGTTACTGGAGACGAAGATGGTCGTAGCGTTTATATATAAAACGGTATGCTGCTAATTAAAGAAAAGTTACTCAAAATTCCAATTTGAAATTATTCCAATATTAAAGGTAACCTTAAAGAGCTTCCGTTGCGAAGGCTGTTTCCCATATCTAAGTCAACAGACACAGGCGTTCTTCTACGCTAATGTTGAGAGACCTATAAAAGCTCTTTTAACGCTAAATGTCACAAGACATTTAAAGGCTATCAACGAAGGAAATTTGGATGCTCCTTTATCGTGTAGAGTTGGGACGTTATATACGATCTCATTGGATGTATTAAGCAGAGCGCAAAATCCAATGAGAAGTTGCGGTAAGGGAATTATTTTTTATTAATTATTTACTTATTTACTATAAAAGTCTACCCCCCTTAAGATGTCTTTTAATGGATATTTAGTGTTAAATTTTGTTCACTTGCTTTCCAGATGATGTCATAAAAGCTATAACGGATGCCTCAGGGTGTGGAAACGTTGCCTACTTATTCTTGGGTACTCAAGGTGAATCAGATGAACCGATCGGCCACCTTCACCAACACAACCAGCTCTCATTTTATTTCACGGAATTCCAGGTGCAAACGGCAGATGATGTAGACACTATATATTTGCAGAGTATGAACGTGTCCGGCGCGGATCCCATATTGACAGTTGAATTTCAAGCGAATAACACAAATGCATCGCTGGCCTTCAGTGTACTACTTAGCAATGGTTACTTTGAGATAAAATCATTTAAATACAACGAAACGCAATATTACGTAACTGATCTATATGCACCGCAAACTTCCTCGTATTCATGTGGTAAAATATCACTCCATAATGATAAGGAGGCAATTATATTAAAAAGGGTGCAATTGCAATATGATAAAGACACACGTGTTGGTGATTTCAGGTTTAAAGATGCCTGGACATGTGAAGCCTTCACATCGCCTGCCATTATATCTGGTATTTTTATCACTGCCATACTACTCACTGCTCTGTCTGTCGGTATTGGTATGTTGATGAGTGTGCAGTCACCAACTAAGTACGAATCAGCAACCGGAAGTGCTTAACAAAGCTGTTGACTGATTGAATTTAGATGTAGCTTATTTTAGTTTATTTATTAAAATAAATAAAGGATTAACTTGATACTACTTGCAAAGGTCATCAACGATTTGTGGTGTCAAGTTCATTATTTCTGTTTGCGGTTTCCATAACATATATTTGAAGATGGATTACTGATTAGGCTATCGCACCCGTCTCTGTTTACTGAAGCTGATGGTGGTTCGGCGAGCCGGCAGGAAGGCAACGGAATTACTTCCGTATGAGTGGAAGTATATACCGTGCCGCGTTAGCGATAGTTGGGATCACCAAGACTTTATATCCCGTGAATGGGCTTTCATTTAGAAACGAGAGGTCATATTTATATATTCACTTCAGAACATGTTTCTGCGCCGATTTGCGGCAACGGATGAAACATAAATACTTCATTACACATTCGAGTGCGATCGGCACTTCTATTAATGGTTGTTGCCTGACCAAAGTCATCCAAGGCGTACGAAGACATAATAGTCGGCCTTCGAAAGTAAACGGCTATCTCCCGACTTTCCTTGCTTCTTCTCTGCAAACTGCTTGAAACTTTCCTCCACTAAATCCACAGCGAACAACTTCACGTACTGGACGAAAGAGTATAGACAGATTCTGAACATTACTGATTAGATGTTATATTCGACAGCCGTTCCGATATGGAAGGAGAGGAAAGCTTCAGACGTGTTAAAATAGTTCACTTCGGTTGAACACTTGCACAGAAGAGCTCGAGTTTCCACGAATCGTTCTGAATACTGTATCAGGTTATACAAATACTTTCCCTTCTCCAGCATCGATTCCCACATACGAAATAGATCCAGCGTTCAATAAGTTACCTCTTTGCATGCCCAGCGAATTCTACCCATCTAACACCCCTCTCCCTATGGTCTGGCCCCATCGAAACAGCACGTCTCCTGGCCTTAACCTTAGATCCAAGTGGAGATTACATAACCTCTTCAACAACGACAATAATCGCAAAACATGATTTCTGCTAGTTTTTTATCCACATAGAATTTTTTTCATCGCCTACCTCAAACATGGCAAAACATTTAATAAACAATATCAGTTTGCGTTATTGGATCGTTTGGATGTCGAGATCAAAGTTAGTCTGAAGACATTTCTTATTATTCTTAATTGGCGTAGACATCGCTTACGAGTTTACAATAGCGTGCCAGTCATTCTTTCTGGCCTCCGACTTCCTTGTAATGCCGACTCGTCAGATGTTGTCATCGGCCATGCCTCTGCATCATATAGCAGGACGGGGACGACTTGTAAAGTTTAGCCCTTGTTCGTAGAGAGAAGACGTCACTTCTGAATTGTCTACTCAATAGCTAAAGTATCACCATTTGGCAAAGGTTAGTCTGCGTTGGATTTCGAGGCTGACATGTTTGTTGGTATTAATGCTGGACTTTGAAGTTATGACTATTAACAGTGACGACGACTGTTTGTTTGATGACGGGAGATATTCCGTCTTGCCCTCGTTCACTACCAGGTGAGGTTATTTTCTTATTTTCATTGGTGGGGTTTTTTATATGGTGGGACCTAAACCCAGCGCACAACCCTGGATCTGTCTCTTATACACATCTAGATGTGTATAAGAGACAGATTAACAGTGACGACGACTGTTTGTTTGATGACGGGAGATATTCCGTCTTGCCCTCGTTCACTACCAGGTGAGGTTATTTTCTTATTTTCATTGGTGGGGTTTTTTATATGGTGGGACCTAAACCCAGCGCACAACCCTGGATAGGGGATATTTCGCCTTCTCACTTGTTGTTTACCGATGTTTTTTGTTTACCGAGAGGATACTTAGACTAAGACCAGAAGTCGTAAGCTACTTCAGATATATGTAAAATAATGGTTTCTGGCCACTCCCAAGTAAATGGCGCTCAGCGAACTTTACTCCCCGAAGACTTTTCACTCATAAAAATTCTTCTCTCTCTCTATAAATTAAGTAGCATAATGTTGTATGGAAACTTCTCACACAATGAAATAGCAATTAATGATGCAGTGAGAAAGACAGTGAGTGAAATAGCAAACAACTTCGTTTGCAGTTTCGTAAAGTAAGAAGCATATTGTACCACTGTTCGGGTTTTCCTAGAAGGCAGGTGTGACAAATGAACGCATCGAAACCCTCTACTCATTATTCGATGATGATTAGTTTGTACATCTCTATATTACAAAGGTATAATAGTTAAGTTGTTCTTTTGTAATTCTATGCAATCATGGACATGATACAGTGCTCATAACTGCTCTATCAAGTTAAAGTAAATATAAGGAGAATTTTGTTGAAAAATGAACGAAGCCAAAAGGGCCACATTATTAAATAACATTATCATTGTTGTGAATATGCATATGCATGTATGTTATAAGCACATTCGATCTATTATACATACCATATGTATGTGTATGTGTAATCGCTATCACAGCGACTTTCTCTTCCGTTCTGTCGGCACTTGTAGAAGACCATGACGTAGCCATCGCTGATATCAAACACACCACGCAGACATCTCCTCGAATCCGAATCTATGTGTGAGTACACACACACACTCAACGTACTACATGCAAGCGCATCATATCTCTCATTATTGTCATTCAAATAATGAAGCTTGTATTCAATCACAACGCAATTATGATTAATAGAATGCAATGTGTGGCGCGGATTTGAATGTGGCCCAGTTGTGGAAATCAGTGTATTTCGGCACGCCAAGCCGATATCAACGGAACTTTTGCTCAATTTAATCGCATAAATTGTAAAGCGTAATAAATTATGGTGTGGACACTTGCTTTGTTTGAACTAACTATGCAAAATTAAAATATAAAAAGGAAATTATGTTAGAAAATCGGCATTTTTTGTTGTTTTCTTAATAAATTACATAAATAATTGACGTGAAACAAATAATATTTTTCCGTTACATGTGAAAGTGCTCAGCAATGCAATACGTAAAAATTATAACTGTAATTAGTATTGCTAAATTGTTAAGTGTGCGCTCATACTTGTAAATTTCGATTGGTCTCTCTAAATTACGCGCGAAGGCCCAATTTGTTGATAAGATTATAAATAAGCGATAAATACAATAAATAATTGATAATAAACAGCAACAATAATAATTTTACACTATTCCGGCTAAATAAAAGAATTGCTCAATAACTTTTAGTAAATGAGCGCAGGTGGACGACGCAGGACGTGTTTGGAAAATTCGAACATTTCATAGTGAACAAGCGGCTGAATTAACAAGAAGGCCGTGAAAACGAATTTAAAGGAAACGAAAAGTGTAACAAAGGTATTTGCAATAAAAACTTGTGCAGTTAATTGATATTATTTGCATTGCTGTTGCGAAAAATTGTATTAGTCAATGTGATAAACAAAAAGTTTAAAAATATATAAAATGCATATAAATAAAAAAAAATTAGTTTGAAAGAAGCAAAGTCCAAATATGGCGGAGCATAAAGAGTGCATAAAGGATGTTAAAAAATAATTGGGCCGCAAAAGATATATACAACGTAAAAGCGGAAAAGAAAAAGGAAAATATTTTAGTAATTAAAAATAAAAAAAAAATCATATTTAACAATTTTTTTTTATTAAAATATACATTTCGATGTTTTGCTCACGAATTAAGCATGCGCTACTTATAAAACGATTCGCCTTAGTTATTGCACTTCAAAACGAAACGATAGAAATGATAGTAAAATAAACAGAAATAGTAATTTTCAAAAGTGCAAATATTTGACAAAAATATCGGAAATTTGCGCTTTCAGCGTTGATATTGTTATAATAATTAAATTAATTTTACACCTTTTTTAATCTCTTTGAACCTTCTTTCTATCAACTGCTGCACGATGGCGCCTTTAATTGGCAAAACTAGCCAAAATTTGGCGTCTTAATTCGTAAAAACTATTTTATCGCAAAAGACTTTCAAGATAAGCATACCTGTATGAAATACATATGTATGTACATGAATTCCAAATCTATCTGCACATATGTATGTAAATATACATAGAAATGAATATACATCGGGAAGTCTTTTTGGTACATTATTTCATAATGTTGCTATATAAATATATACTTAATAGGGTGAGTCAAAAAACACGAACATTTTTTTCGCTTGGTACTCCGAAAAGTGGGTTCTTAGAAACCTCAATGAAAGTCTCTATAAGCCTTCGGTTAAATTAAGTATTAATGAGATATGCAGCGCCAAAAATCAACCAAACAAACAAAAAACAGAAAATAGTAATAATAAAAAAGAACCTAATAAAAAAAAAACTAAAAACGAGATAAGTGACCATTTTCTAAAGCAGTAAATTTCTACAAAAAAAAACTGTGAGTTTTCCGATTTATAATGATTTTTTTTCATTCACATATAAATTCGTATGAAATAAAGAAACTTGTATAAAAATTACCAAACTTTTACCGTTAATAACTTTTAAATAGCTAGGTTTACGAAATATTCGTAAGATACCTCTTTGTAGAACACTAATTCTCCTACAGAACCTTTAAACCCATGTATTTTTTCAAGTAGCTAGAAGCGAGATATACATGTTTCCATCTGATAATAAGAAAAAATCGAAAACTGTAGGGCGGAAGACCGCCCCGTTAAAATATGATCTCTTAATTTTAACGGGAATGTCTTCCGTGGAGAGACCTTCGTAGAGGTATCTAAGAACCTATTTATTTTCCAGGGTATCGCAAAAAAAATTTGACCCACATACATATACATTACATACATATATGTATATACTTTTGTACATACGCTCGCCTTTTCTTGTGAAGTGTGTAAAAAAGTCGCCGCCAAGTAACCTTAAGGTGATAAGCGTTAATTGTTATGTTCTATCGTATATATTTAATGTAGTAATATAAATATATATGTATTTAATCGAAGATCATTAAACTCGAGCGATGTTTGCTGAAAGGATGAAATATACATATATATATATATATAATATATATATATATAATGTATATGTATACATATATATGTATGTATGAGATATTCTTATCTCTATTACACAGCTCTACAAACAAAAAATTTTTTTGTTGCCCAAATTTTGATGCTTTAAATGTTCAGATTACGACCTTATTCTTGAAATTATTATTTTCTCGTATGGACTGTATACCAATGTCTCTATGTCGAACAACACTTCCTTTGTTTCAAATTAGTAAATGCGATCTATATCAGACAAATTGGGTTTGTAATTGGAAATACCTTAGTTTCTGGATTTTGCATTTGCCATTTTATTTCTATGTAATTTCTTTTACAAGACTAACAAAATTTTTACAGAAGTCGAATCGTTTATATATAGCAATAAAAACTTTCCCTTCTACCTTTGGCTTAATCTATGAACAAAATAATGTAATACCACTTTGTGGAACATATAATTATCTTATAAAAAATCGCTATAGTATACATACTACTATGTGCAAAAATTAGTAAGACTTTTTAATTTAAATTTCGCGACGACATACTTTTTTTCTGGGTTGAAATGACTGTCAGTGACATCTGTTCCAACTGTCACCACAAAGTAATCATTAGCATTTAGTATATGCTTGTCTTTCTGAAATACATAAAATGCATTCGGCGATTTTTATGAAGAGTGAAATCATTCACCAATGAAGTTCCAATAAAATTTGTGTGCGGAATAAAATTTCCGATACCAAAACATTCAGAATGTTGGAAAAGGCCTTCGGTGATTATTGTTTGTCGCGAGCAAGTATTTTATACTCATAGTAGTATATCTAACTGTTATAATTACTTCACAATAAGTGGTTATTTACTTAAAAAATATTAATGTCGTCTCTGTAAAAGCTCTTTATTTCTATCTTGGTATTAATCCTTATCAAAAGATAATCATTTCTTCATATTCGGTACTGATACCTTTATTTAACATTTTGAATAATTTGATTCCGACATTCCAGTCAATATGTATTATTATAAAATTAAAGGTATTAGAAAAAAGTCGCGTGAGCTACTCTGCAACACGGCAAGTCATAGGGAAGTCGCCCAGTTGGCTCTTTACTGAACGATCGTGTGCCGAACTGAATATAAATACTATTAGAAGTTCGATGCTTCGTCTACTTATATGAAGTCCACTTCCCGCAAGTGGGAATGATCTGCTACTTAATAAATAAACGCTGAAAGAAATTAAAATAAACAACTTGAGCAAATAAGTCAGCAACTAACAAGTACCTTGTAAGAATTGCCTGACTAACGCTAAATAAACCTAATGAAATGGAATGCTTGATAACGCACGATCTCCAGTCCATGAAAGATAAATACGTAGCTTGTCGATCAGAAGTGTCACAACGATTATTTGCGTTCATAGAGGAACTGTTGTGTACTTATATGCGTATATATATAAAAGTATATATCCGTTAACAAGTATTGTGTAAACTACATATCGTTACCTAAAATGCAAAAGAACGTATTACAAAATATCTGAATTGATTTCTATTATATTGCTTTTTCTTTGCCTGTAAACTAATGGAAATTGATATTACGTTATTTTGCAGTTTAGGTGACGAAATATTCTCTACAAAGCTGATAACTGGCTACTAAAACTACTAGAAATAATTTAAGTGTTATTAACTTACTTGTCATTAACAAATACTAAGTAACTTCATGTTTTCTTATAAATAAGGTTTGCTTCACATTGGGTAGGTTAGAACAGCCAACAGCCGGTCATTAGATTACAATATTTCATTTATTGCTATTTTTGGTGACAACAATGACCGTCAACATTTTTTTACAATCCGTCACTCAACTTTATTAGAAGCGTAAAGCCTCATAAAGAGAAAAATGGAGTAATCTAATCAGTTCGGTTTAACGGTGACAAATATTTCGTATAATCCATTACGCGCCTAAAATGTAGAAATTCATGATTTTTATGATTTTATGGAAAGCTTATATAGTAATTTTCAATATTTCCTTTAATAACTGCTATTCGTTTAACAGTCGCAACTTTTGTAGCGTCAACAACTTAATGCTGAGGACTCGAAATGGCAGAAGCGCAATTGCGTCAACGACCCGGTGACTACTTATGCGGTTTAGCCAGATGGCATCCCGCTTGGATGCAACGCTACACAACAACAAAGTCATTTATGATGGTCTATGGGCTGTTGGGCACCATACAAGCCATGTCCTACATGTATTTCGTCGTCACATTAACAACAATCGAGAAACGCTTCAAGATTCCTAGCCAAACAACAGGTAAATATTCGATTTCTAAGCGACTAGCGGCATATACATTCAAAGATTCAACAAAATATATACGTATTGAGGTATTAAATGAAGGCAGTATACAGTGCGTATGAGCAACCAAATGGAAGTGGTGATGACTTCAAAACTATTTCTTGGGTTTGACACTAATAAAATATGTTTCAGATTTTTTTAATTTTAAATAGAAATACAAACGCTTTGTTGGCTATACATTTTATTAGAAAAAGTAGATTTTTTTTTTGTGAAGCGGCACTTTGAAATGATAAACGGCTTTAGACTCGAATGAGAGTCATAATTTTAATGCTTAATATTTTCCCATTAATTTCTACAATATTCAGACTTAAATTCTTCATATGTGCACTCACTTAGTTAGTGTTGCAGCCTCGCTTGTGCCCAGTCGGTTAGTGTAATTATATATGTACACTAAACTAAGTCTTGCGTAATTGACGAATTTGCTATTTTAAGAATTAGGAATTAAAAGCAAACTAGCTACACCGATCAACACAATTTTCGAACTTTTGTGAAATTTCAGTTTCTCCTACAGGAAAACTTAAGAAATAATTTTCATCTGAATAAACCATGTTGTTGTAGTGCTTTTTTTTATATATATTTTATGTTCATATGGGCTCTCTCATATGTAAAACGAAATTTTAAGATCTAAAATTAAAAAAATTTACAATTTTCAATGCACAAAAACTGGATTTGACTATGACCGGTGCTATTATAATACCTCCGATATTTGCTTTTTTTCTAGTTTATGCCTTAAACATACATACATAAATTAATGTATATTCTTTTTATTACATTTCACACTTTTTTCTTTACCGTTTATTAGGTATTATCTTGAGCGGCAATGAAATATCACAAATCCTACTCTCGCTCATACTCAGCTATATTGGGGGTCAACGAAATCGCCCACGTTGGATCGCATGGGGCATTGTGTTTTGCGGCCTATCCTGTTATATATTAGCTCTGCCACATTTCATTTATGGCGCCGGCGATGGCGCGCTACATCTCACCGCGGAATATTTACAAGAGCAGTCGTCGTCCAACCCAACGTTAAATATGACAAGTTCATTCTCATTGGTTGTAGGTGAACAAAATTAGTACATTCCATGTTATCATATCAAATTTCATATGTGTGTGTGCTATATTTACATACATATACTTATGTGTGTGTGGGCGTGAGGGTTTGGCGTACACAATAATTTAGTTCAATTTAAGTTGTCCGAATTAAAATTTACTGAGCGCTAAGCTCAGAGCTATACAAGCTAAGCTCAGAGCCTATATACATACAAGAAATGGGTTTGAAATCGAACAAACATTATATAGTTGAATTAAAAGCAAGAAAAAAATTAGCTTTGACTGCATCGAAACTATGATACCTTTCACAGGTTCTCTTATAGCTGAAAAGCATGTCAAATGAGCTCTATCTTGATTTTGAAAGGTCAGTTTGTATTGAAGCTACAGTGATCCGACTTGAACAATATGAACGAATGTACCTTTGTCTTTGTGAAAATATATCATCAAATAAAAAACTTTTCCATACAAGGGATGTGATTTGTTTTCGTCGTCACAACGCGACTTCACGTGAAGCTGGCTGCCAGCT